AAAAAAAAAAAACACAAAAAAAAAAAAAAAAAAAAAAAAAAAATAGGCGTTCCCTCACATGACCGTGCTGAGCTGTCCTCGCTCTGGTTCTAATTTTATCCACTCTTTGGATTTTAGGGAAGGGCTTTTTTACACATTCACTTCAGGGAAAAAAGAAAAACCAGAAGCGCCCCAGGCCTGGCCACGTCACCGTCACCTTGGGCCACAGAAGCAGGGCCGAGGCGGGGCAGGGCCGGGGACATCCCAGAGGACGCGGAGCGCGGGCCATGTGGACAGGGGCGCTACGGGGGCCCTCCCGCTTTCGGTTTCCCACAAAGTCTAGAGACCTCCACCCCACCCCGGTGGCGGGCCACCAAGTCGCAGACCGGGCGGCTCGGGCGCGCAGCCTACCTGAGCCATGGTGAGCGCGGGGCCGGGAGGATGCGGACCTGCAAGAGACGACAGGACTCGCTCAGCCGCCGCCGCCCACCCCGCGCCCCGAGCCCCACCCTTGCCGTCCCTGGGGTCACTCACGCGGACGGCGGACCCAAGCGGGCGAACTCGGATCAGAGCGAGCGCAGAGATGCGGACCTAGCTGCAGGCAGAGCCGCGCGCCGGATGCAGGCGAGACTAGGAAAGGCGTGGCCTGGCCCCGCCCCGCCCCGCCCCATCCCGCCCCCGTCTTGGCCTCAGCCCCGCCCCGCCCCGCCCCGACCTCGGTCCCGCCCCGCCCCGTCTAGGCCTCAGCCCCGCCCCGTTTTGGGCGCGGCCCCGCCCCGTCTTGGCCTCTGTCCCGCCCCTCCCCACGTGTCCCCGCCCCTCCCCGCCCCGCCCGGTCTCTGCGCCTGCGTGGGGCGCGGCCGTCCAGTCACCGGCTGTCTAGTCTCCAGCCGGCTAGGCGGGTGGGTGGGGCCCCGGAACGCGAGGGCGTCGTTGGCAGACAGCGCACTTGCACTTACCGCGAGAAGGTGTGGGGAGCTGCCTAGAACTCGGGGTTTGGGGACCCGAGGCCCCCTTCCCCTACCCGGCTGCAGGCACGGCATGAAGCTTTGAGGCTCAGTTCCCAAGTAGTTTCTGGTTTTTTAAACTTTTTTTTTTAAACGTACTGATGATTGCTTCTGTGATGCCTGCCTTACTGTGTAACTGTTTCAAAACCTCTGCCAGAAATCAGTTTCTATTTTCAAAACCTGCCTATAACTTTAATAAGACTTAAGTTGGATGCACCTGTACTGGTTTGTCATAAAGCCTGTACTGATTGATATTCGGGAGAGGGAAAGAGGACCGATGCCCACAGAGCCCTGCACCAGGGTGGCGCTGGAAGGCAGAGGACCGACAAAGGGCGCCCGCGGGCGTGGGGGGCAAAATGATTACAGGCATGATTACAAGCAAGCACCACCATGTCCAGTCTCAATCGCCATCTCAGCGCCCCCCAGGGGCAGGCCAGTACTGCATTTCGAGGATGGAACCTGCCACTGCGCTGTGCCTAAACAGAGCTGAGCTATCTGCTGAGCTATCTGGCCGGACAGCACTCAGTTTTTGAGAATGAGGAAGAATAAATTCAATGGAGAAGCGATGTGGTTCTTTCAGAGTTCCTCCTATTCTTTCATGAGTAAACCACATGCTTTGTCAGGACAAAGTCGCAGCAGAGCAGCTGTTCTCTGGAAAGAAAGCAAAGCTTCAGAGTACTACAGTTTACCACGCTGCTGGGAGCCCAGTTCAATTTCTGGTTGACTTCCTCTTCGAGGAGAGCCCTTGCCCCCTATCCAACCCCATCGGGCACCTCAGCGCTGGTCTTCTTGGAGGACTCCAGCATCACTCTGCCTCCACCAGTAACAGCGGCTTTGCTCTGGCCTAGCGCACGGCTCCCCACCCACAACCTTTAAAATCCTGTTTCCTACATTCACTTTCTACCCTGCCAGTCATGGAATTAGACGGCCTTCTCAGAGCCTATACTTAACACTCACGTGTTATAGGAAAATGGTGCTCATGATGTGCTAATGACTGGCTCTAAGCCCTGCAGCTAAGTAAGAACAGATAAATTACTAGAGCCAGAGTCCTGATGTTACATTTACTTCCTGTTACTTCAGCGAATTCGAGGGGACCAGGCACTGTTCTAGGCCCTGGAGGTAAGGTGTGGGGCAAGGGGGAGGAGCCAAATCTCTGCCTTCTTTGGTCAGACTTTCTGGTGGAGCAAAAAAAACATTTAATAGCCAACATTTCCAATGTGCTGTCTGCTATAAAGAAAATAAAGCAGGGTTCACGTGTGAGAATGAGGAACACTATTTCAGAAACCTGAATTAGTACCGTCTAATTAAATTTGACAACTGTTTACCAAGCACATGGAAAAGGCACACAGAAGATTTTATGTTAACATAAATGAAGCATGTATACAGGCATGAAAATGAGAGACAACCTAAGTTATGAAAGGAATGCACAAAGTGCAATCAAAATGCAATTGATGTCCAAGGAAGCTAATAGTTTGTCAAGTAATCAAAAAAAAAAAAAAAATGGGGGGTAAGGATTGGAATTGGACCTTGTGAGGGTGGGGTATTTTATCAGGTAATGATATGGGAAAAGCTAAAAGAAGGAAAGGGCCTGCAGTGGGACAGAGTTGATGCAAGATATACAAATAGATAGAGGTTTATAGGATTAGCTTACAAGGGCCACCCACAGCAGAGTCAGAGGGGAGAATTTAGCCTTGGCAAAAGACAGCCAAGCCAGACTGCCTCGCCAGCGCTCTCTGCTGCTCTTAGCTATTCTCTCTAGCAGGGGATAAACTCTTTATTTGGAAGAAACCTCACTGAGCCCTTTAACTCTCCTTGCCTGTCCCCAACTTTCCCTACAACTAGGGCTGCAAAGCATATATGTTCTGAAGTCAAAATGAGATTCGAATCTCCAGTCTACACATACAGCAGTCACATGAATCAGACAATCGCTGATTCCTAGCCTTACCTTGACTGGTGCTAAGAATTAAATAATCTGTGAAAATGCCTAACCAATTGTGAAAAACTTGGTTTCTTTCCCAGTACCTCTTTCCCCTAGCAAAAGCTCTCCCTGCCTCCCCTTCTCCTGTTCTGATGCCGGAGCCCCGCCCACACACTCCAGCCACTTCTCCTCCAGACTCTGCTCAGCAGCACCAAGAACCACGCCCTCACCAGCAGATCTCGGAGCTGCCAGGCCCAACTTGGGGAAAGCAGCTGTTGCTTTTGAGATTCTTCTGTTATGGCTTATGTCTTAATTACTTTTCTTTCATGGCTGAGACAAAATACCCGATACCCAAAATTAAAGGAAGAAAGGTTTATTTAGCTCACAGTTTGTGGAAGTTTCAGTCCATCACTGGCTGAGTCCAAGGCAGAGCAGCACACGGCAGGGAGGCAACAATTCATGGTGGCAGAAGACAGAAGAAGCAATAACAGAGAGCAGATGACTCTGTCCTTGATAGTGTATGCAGGCTACCCATGGTAGGGAGGATGTCACACTCGAACCTTTAAATCTAGCCAGAACTATGCCAAACCAATCAGTGGAGTGATTTAGTATTCCCAACATCACACACGCTAGAATCAGCCACCTCTAAAAAAGTCTGTCCACTGTGACTGCATTAGAATTTGGGGGGACATCTAGGCACAAGCCGCAAAATATTATGAGTTGTGTCTAGATGTCTCCCCAAAGGCTCGTGCAGTCATAGGTGGCTGGATCTAGGGTATGCAGTGGATGCTGGGATTGACTCCGGGTGCAATGCTAGGATTAAAGCACCGGGATAACATATAAGGAACAGAAAGAGGGCCACTATTGTCATTGTTTGTTGACTGTTGCTTTGCTGTGCCGCTTTGTTGCCCTCCATGGGCTGTTTCTTCTCCCTAATGTCCCTCTACTGTGCCACTGTGCCTTAGAGCCAGCCAGCTATGTACTGACACCTCTACAAATTGAGAGCTACACAAACCTCTCCTTTAACTTTAGGTGTCAGGCATTTTGTCTGAGCAAAAAGAAAAGTTACTAAGACATCTCCCCCCATTTTCCTCTGCCAAAGCCTTCCCATGGATGGATGTAGAGCTGGCCTAGAGCCCCACACACACACATAGTCTTCCTAATACACCGAGCCCCAATCCTCATCTGCTGGTGCCAAGCACTCCAAAAGCAATTTAACTCAAGTCATCTCCCTGGCCCTATTTCAAATGAGTCTTTCAGATAGAATATGTTATGCTTAATTTAAATTTTCAAAACTAAATTTAAAAGAAGCAATAAAAATACTAAGTGTACTCATAAAAAGGCAAGCCTGTTGTCTCTTTTATTACTTAATCCCCACACCTAGCACAGCATTCAGTAACCATTCATTCCATATTTTGAATGGATGAATGAGTGCATTGTGGTACAGGTCTGTTTGTTTGCTTGATTAACAAAGGCAAATTACCACAATCTAGTGTTATTCAAAATGATCAGGAGATATGAAAAAGAGGCCAGCAGAAACCTTGGAGAGAATTTTGTCAGAAGAAGAAACTTATTCTCAGACAGAGGTTTTGATTTTAAAGAAGAGTTATCTGTGACCAGATAAGGTTTCATCTCATTATCTTACTAGTATACAACCTTGGATGATGATTTGATTTTTCCTTTCTGGAGGTCCAAACTAGGATTAAGTGAACTGGCTTGTTTAATGCCTAAAAGTAGCAGAAAGGCCAATTTCAATTACTCTTTCTTTCCCAAAATTCTCACTGCAACCCTCCCCATTCTCCCTGATGATGATTCAATGCCCACTTTCCCTGCTCAAAAACTAAATGAAGTCCCTCTGATTTAGCCCTAGTCTCCTATTGTAGGCTGTGGCTATTACTAGCCAGCTACTCAGCACCCATCCACAGTCCAGCTCAATCTAATTCCTGGGGCCAGTTTGATGAAACTCTTAACACTGGCATCTGTATCTGGGGTGTTTCTTTATCCATTCAAAGAATTTATTGTAAAGCCCTGTCATTGACAATGAAAACTCAGTGAATTATTCAAAACGAGGCAACAGGACCTGTCCAGTTAGGACATTCAGTAAATGGACTGGTATGGCTTATGCCTGGATGTTCCCCCCAAAGGTTCATGCAACCGTAGATGGTACTTTTTCAGAGGTGGCTGGATCTACAGCCTGTGACTGATTCATAGTGCAGCGCTAAGATTAAGGGTGGCAGGATTATGGGTGGGCGATTACTAAATCAATTCACTGATTGGCTTGGCCCCTAATCCTGGTAGTGGAGACAGAATATAAAATGGGCAAAAAAAAAGCTGCTAAGCTCTCTTGCTTGCTCTGCTGCCTTCTGCCCACCATGAACTGTTCCTCCTTTGCTATATCTGTCTCTCATAACACCCTGCCTTGGAGTGAGCTGGTTATGAACTGAAACCTCTACAAACTGTGAGCTAAATAAAGCTTTTCTGCTTTAATTTTGGGTGGGTATTTTGTCTCATAGCAAGAGAAAAACAAATAAGACAGGGACTATGATGACACAGCAGAATTCTATTAAATAAGCAGCTGGAAAGAGTGGGATAAGCAGGCTAGGGAGGTTCCTGGTTTGGATGGTTAATGTGTGTGATTCACTGGGCCACAGGATGCCCAGATGTCTGGTTAAGTGTCATTTTTCAGTGGGGCTGGGGACATTTCTGGAAAAACCTAG